TATTTGTTCCTCTCCCTAAAGAAAATATTATTTTGAATATTTCACTCCGTTCACTCTGTCAACCGGTCGCCTGTACTCGTTTTCTCTCTCTCAACGACAATTGTTACTCCCTCCATTCCCGTTTCGTCCCAAAACACAAACAAATCCAAAATTGAGCTTTTTCTCCTTCTACTCCCGTAAACTGTCTTCCTTTCGATTCTTCTTTCCCTGCGATCATACATGCTGACGAGCTGGTCTCGATCGTAATTGCTCTCCGCTCATACACCCACTCAAACTCTCATTCTGTTTTATTTTTCTCCCCCCTCAGATCACCATATTGTTTTCTTTTTTCTTGTGTTTCTTCTAACTATTCCAGTGTGAATTCTCACACACTAGTTTTTTTTGTATACCCCCTCCTGATTCCTTATTATTTTTCATTCATCCTCTCCTTTATTCCATGTTCTCCTTTTCCTTCCTCGTGTTGTGTCCGTTCCCTCTTCCCTGTTATTCTCTCCCTTTTATCACAAAAACTTTCCTTCCCCAAAAAAAAGCTGTCCCCCATAAGCTTTTTCTGAGTATAAAGTGAGTGTATCTCTTATAAAACCTTCCTTCTTCTTCTTCGTTTTTTTGTCTATTCTATTCCGAACACATAGATCTTGCAACAGCGACGATAGACAAGCTTTACACTCCTCATCAGAAGGAACACGTACGTGGAAGGTCAAAGCAGAAGGAGGAAGCAAATCACAAAATTAGGAAGGCAGAAGCTACAAATAAACTATCAGATCTCTCTCCTTTGTTCTAGCGAATCGAGTTCTTCAGTTGAGACGTCGTGACGTGGCCTTCAGAAGTTTAACGGGGATGGTTTCGGTCAGAATGTGTAAAGCCTAATTCGTGCGGAGAAGAAGAAGCTGGAAAAAAACTTGTCAAGCAGAAACTGAAGGAAACTGTGTGAAGTATTAAAACTAAAACATCTCCGATCGGTCTGAAACACACGAAAAAGAAGTTATATAAATGTAGAATCAAGACAACGACATCTACAATAGACACTCATTTGCTTCTCTTTGTTCTTCGTTTTACACGCTTTTCTAGGTTTTTACTCATTGCATTTATAGCTAAAAATGCTATGTATTAACCACTGTAAAAGTTAGATGTGCAGGTCTTGAAAACGTGGCACAACGATTAAGATAAAGGATTGGGAACGCCTTCAAGTAATCGAATATCCATGAAAATCTACCGTACTTCATCTTATAGAACTCCGCCCCTTGTACCTTTAACTTTGAGCCAATTTATCTCTGTTTCTGTGAAAGATATCAAAAAGTTGTCAACAGATAATTTCTTAATCATATTATCGCCAATATTTTATCAGTTGACACATTTTTGATATCTCTTTTAGGAATCGAGATAATTGAGCTCAAACTTATCGCTGATTATAGAAACTTAAAAAGTACTGTATGAAGTTAGATGTGCAGGTCCCAAAAAAACCACGACGCACAATGAATTATTTGATTGTCCAATAGGTTAGATGTGGCTGTTTCAAGATGATAATACTGTATATGCAGCATCCAACAAAACAATACCATATTCATGCTACAAACTACAAAAATTCAGCTGTGTTTTCTGTTTCAGTATTATCTCAAATTCTAGAAGTTTCTGAATACTGTAACCCAGTTTTTTTTGGTTTTGAAACATTGAAGTGAACCATTTTATAGGAAAATAAAGATCCAATTTGTTCGTGTTTTCTACTTTATTTCCTTGAGAATTTACATAGTTGTTCAGCTCTAGAACAATCACCAAAATATCTGTACTGGACACAACACAGCCCTACTATCAACTTTGAGCTCAATTATCTCGGTTCATCTGAAAGATATTGGAAAATGGCTAACAAGTAAAATGTTGCTGATATTGTGATAAACATTTTATCAGTTTACAGATTTTTGATATATTTCCCATAAAGCGAGATAATTAAGGTCAAATTTAGGGTGCCGTAAAGGCTCAAATAGAATGTTCACTCAAACCATAAACTTAGAGCTCTATTATCTCGGTTGTTGTGAAAGATATCAAAAATGTGTAAACTGATAAAATGTTAGTGATGTTACTATTAAGATTTTGTTAGTTGACACTTTGCTGATATTTTTTAAAGGGACCGAGATAATTGAGCTCAAAGTGTACATATGTGGGTGAGCTTCTACTTGAGGAAATATTGTAGGTACTTTACGGTAAATTACTTTATTTCGAAAAGTTCTGAATGCAGCTCCATATCTGTTCTACAATTCTCAACTTGCTAGCTTTCTGAAATTATAAGTCACTTCAAATGTTGAAAACTAGTTTTGAAATATAGTTTTTGAAATTGTAGAGTTAAAAAATATCCATACATGTTCTGAAATTTTCAAACAGACCAAGCAAGTCGGAAGTGTCTATTCAGCTCTATCTTAAAATCTGAAAACCTGTGTGCTGAGAAAGTTTTCTGTAATTCCAAATCCAGCAAAAAACAAAAAGGACAAGTAGATCCCAACTTTCAGCCATCGATCTACAGGAATTTTTTACCCGGACTGATAAAAAAGGGTATATCTTTAGACATATGTATCTTGGAAGCACGAAAATTGATAGAAACATAATTTTACGTTTGATTCAAAGTCACTGAAATTTTCAAACCGATTTCATAAGGTTAGGTATTGTTATAATTGTCCGAAGATGAACAGCGTAGTGATTTTCATGAGATGAAGCAACTTTGACAAGCGATAACTCAGCTCAAAGTTGACCAAATCATTTGAAACTTGGCCAGTTTACTAATGAATTCCTTGATTTTGTGCACTTCATATTTGAGGCCAGTAAAACGCTTCACTCAAACTTTATGTTAGATCAAAATTTATATCCATTTTCAGTCCCACTTAAATCTACACACAATCACCCTATTCTTCCCGCTAATTAATTCGGACACACTTTTTCTTATTCGATCCATTGTGCCCCGTTAAAAAAGTCAATACAATCTCGATTCCCTCGTACTTCTAAAAGTGAATGTCTCAATATCCCATTCCCAGCTTCCCGTAAGCTTCTCTCAGCGAGAAAACAGGTACTTTCGCTTCTCCCGCGCTATTATCAAATCAACCTCTTCTTTAGTTTTTGCCATTCCCGATATTCTATCCCGTTGATCCTTTCTCTCTCTCCATTTTTTGAATACATCGTCTTCGAGATCCCCCTCACGGAAGCCGTGTTCGGCAGTGAAGCGTAAATGAATAGGGGAACAAACTCTCCACCCATTTTCTTAAGCTCCGCCCATTGCTTCATCTCTCAGCGACTTCTTATTTCTTCATGTATCGGCACTTAGTAAGCTTCTTCTTCTTCCCTCCCTCGCACAGTGGGAAGAAGAAGAAGAAGAAAACCGTGCCGATTCCAGTTTATCTTTTCATTTTTCTCTCGGTTAGCTTCTTCTTCTTCTTCTCCGTCTTTTACTTCTTCTTCTACTCTTTTCGAAGACACAGTTTTCGAAAACAATGAGAAGAAGAAGCTAAGAAGTAGTTGTCGACAGTGATCCTACTGGATTTTCAATTCCAATTTCGTTCCTTTTTCAGCTGGAACGGTCTAGTTCAAGTAGTCTGTAGTTTGGAAAAGTCTGGCCTAGTTTTTGAGTAGCGGCCTAGGATTTTAAGTTTTCAGTCATTTGAGCATCATAGATTTTTTTCGAAAATTCAAATACCAATTTTGAATTAATGACCTGGCAAACTGTTAGCCATACTTGTAACGGGCCCACAACGGACTTTGACTAGCCCTGCCAGAGATTCTTTCTGAACCAATATTTCCAAACAAACTAATTTAGTTATGATAGAACTTGACGAGTACTGCAAAATTATAGTATTTGAATTACTGTAACTTGTCTATGAACAAAGTTACAAAGCCATAAAGTTGGAACAGCGTGGCTCAGATGGTTTTTGGCCTATAACTTTGCTCATAGAAAGGGTTCAGTAATTCAAATAATACCAAATTTTAGTGCTTTGCACGATCTATTATATCGTTTTTAGCTGGTTTAGAAATATTGATTCTGAAAGAAACTGTGGCAGGGCCGTCGAAGGCGCGCCGAAAGCCCGCCGTGTAGTTCTCACGGTTTTTGGCTTGTAACTTTTTTCGTAGACAAGATACAATATACCAAATAATATCATTTTGTAGAACTCCTTAAGTTCTATCACATACAATTTAGTTGGTCTGAAAATAATGATTATAAAAAAAAAACTGTGGTAGGGCCGCCGCAGGCCCGCCCAAAGCCCGCCGCGTAGCTCAGATGGTTTTAGGCTTGTAACTTTGTTTTCTAGACAAGGTACAGTAATCCAAGTAGTATAACTTCGTAGTACTCATCAAGTTCTATCATATCTAATTAGTTTGGTTCAAAAATTTTTCGACCTTGTCTGAAAAACCTTAGTCTCAGAATAGCAACATGCGATGTTTGAAACCATCAACCCCAACCTTATTCTCCAGACGCTTGCGCGGAAGTTATTTTCAAACAAATCTTTCACCCATCTTGCATTTTTTTCCCTTCTAAATTCTAAATTTCATACAGTTTGTGTCCTCTGTTTACATTTTGCCTCTCTCACTGTCCTTGAGACCCCTATCTCTAACGCCGATCTCGAACCGAACCTCAAGATGCACCGCCAGAGAGAGGTACCATTTCAAGATCGTAATCTTCCCTCTTTTTTCGATTTGACTTTAAGTTACTGTCAACATATTCACGTACCTTCGCTATCTCAAACTGCAATCTATTCTCCTATAAAAGACCCCTGGCTGGCGTCAACCTCCTGTTGTCATCTTACAGCCTCACTTCGACGTCTTCAGAATGCGTTCACTCATCGTGCTCGCCGCTTTGGCTGTTACTGTCGCCTTCGCCCAGGACAACTGCTACATCAATGACAGCGGTAAGCTTCGGGAAGTGTAACAGGATTTGATAGAAAAGAAGCAATTAGCTGATTGCATCCTATTCCTATCACATTCTTTCTCATTAGGAAAAGAAGGGATGTATAGGAAAGTGCTAGCTAGCTGGTGTGATACGAATTAGCTTGATTGATTATGACACATAGGATCTGACCCATTTCCAGGCTTCACCTGCTGCAACAAGGAGCTCGAAGCCTCAATGAAGGGAGCTATGGGAGGAGGTGACCTTCTCGGATCCGCCGACGCCATCCAAAAGGGAGCCGAAGGATCGTTGGGAGGAAAGTTCGAGACTGTCGTCGCCCTCGACGACTTTGCCTACAAATCTCACTTCAAGGAGGGAAAATCCTGCAAGATCGAGAAGAACGGACAGTACGCTCTCGCTTGGCAACCATAAGTCTTGGATTTGTTCTTTTTTGTCTCTACTGGTTTCAGCACAAACTTTCATTTTAATTTTTCTGTACATTTATTTCTCTCTGTCTCTTTCTCTATTATGACGATCGCCCCGCCCCCACAAAACCCTTTATCTCACAATGCTTTCTGCGCCCCCCGCTCCTCTCTCTTTCTCTCTCGACACATTTTTTGTATAAATGAATGAAATGCTTCAAGAAAAATGGTTTTTATTAAATACTTAAGAGCAAATGTACAGACAGTGAGAAACAAAAAATAATCAAGCAGATTTCTTCTTCTCCTCGGCGGTGGCGATCTTCTTGGACTTGTTGGATCCCAAGAGAAGCATGGCTCTTCTGAACGGAGATGCTCCTGGAGCGTACGATGGAATGGCCATTGGGGAGCGAAGGATGGAGTTGTATGGATTGTAAGCTGGAGCAGCGTACTGTGGAGTGTATCCTGGTGCTCCGTATGGAGCATATGCTGGAGCGTATCCTGGAGTTCCTTGGTATCCATATGGGTTATAGGCTGGGCAAGGTGGTTGAGCGCAGGCTGGAGCAGGAGCGTAGACTGGGATGGCTCTTGGAGCTGGAGCTGGTGCTGGAGCATAGGCTGGAGCTGCTTGGCATGGTGGGACGGCGCAAGCATATGCCGGCTGGTAGACTGGAGTTGGGACTGGGACTGGCACTTGAACTGGAGTTGGGACTGGAACACGGACTGGGACTGGAACCTGAACTGGGTATGGAACTGGAACGTGTTGGATCACTGGCTCTGGGACAATTGGTGCTGGTGGTGGGCATGGTGGCGCGGCGCAAGCGTATGGCTCGTACACTGGAGCTGGAGCTGGTGGCATTGGGACAACTGGCTCTGGAACGTATGGGGCTGGGCATGGTGGAGTGGCACATGGGTATGGGTTATAGGCTGGAGTTGGTGGAGCTACTGGGACTGGCTCAACGACGATGCATGGGGGATTGGAGCATGGATATGGGTTGTAGGCTGGAGCTGGGGCTGGCATTGGTGGTGGTGGGAGAGGGGCAACTGGGGCTGGACATGGTGGGGTGGCACAGGCATATGGGGATGGTTCCAGAGCTGGGCATGGAGGAACTGCGCAGTTGACCTGGAAATTTTGAGTTCTAGGTACCGTAGATTTGTTTTTAGTCATTTTCAGGAGTCAGGCTGTCAAGTATCCAACAGTTTCGAAATTTAGAAGGGTGCAAAATAGACCAAGACTAGAAACTTTGCATTCAACTTTCTGAAAATTCCTGGCTTTTGCTGATTTTTTTAATTTTCAAAGTGATCTGAAACTAGACCAGAATCCTGAAAATGGTCAACAGGGCCGAAAACCATCTGAAAAATATGTTTTTGTATATGATGTTTCTCGATCTTTCTTTTCATTCTATGTTGCAGTCAAACAAAAAAAACCTACTCCTCGCTAAAGATCAAACTTACCGATAATACTTGAGCGTTAGAAACCGAAGCGATGACCCTGGAAAAATTTAGTTTTTATTCAGTGGCGCAATGATCTGGAAATCGTACTAATGGTGGTTTTAGTAGTATACTAAATGACCACTGGTCAATTCTAGATATTAGTCGATGATAAAACAAAAAAGAGCACACTACTACTCACAATAAAAGACCGATGGCGGATTGCATGATTGGCTTTTTTTTAAATATAAAGGAATATAGAATAGAAGGGAGCCGATGGGAATTCCATGCCACCGTTCGCCGCTTTTATACCATTTTCATCGGCCGATTGGCACCTTTCTTTCCGTGATCGCAACTTTTTGCAATCATTAGAAGGGGAGGAGGGGGGCCGGTAAGCAAACAAATATACACTGACGTTTTCATGCAATTTAGGTGGGAATTGGCAAGAGGGAATATGCGGTTGACAGGTTCATCGACAAACGACCGGATTACTTTTTCCAACAAAATTTTATGAATCCATTTTTGACAGTTCAGGAAAGTTTCGGTTTTTGAAGTGGGAGGCGGTCGACATTAGGTGCCAAAGTTCGAAAGAGCAGAATCTAGATGCTTTGTTCAGATTCTTGGTTTGCCATATCTAGGTGCACATGCTCTTGTACAGATGTTGAATAGGTGTAGAACATGATCTTTGTAACTACCGTAAAACCTGTAATAGAACGGTCCTCCAATCTTTGAGTCAATTCATCTCGGTTTCTGTCAAAGATATGAACAATTTGTCAACTGATAAACTGTTTATCATAATATCAAAAGTGTTTTGTCAGTTGGCAAATGTTTGTTATCTCTTACAGGAAATGAGATAATTGAGCACAAACTTGGCAGTGTGGGCGCATTTCTATTAGAGGGTTTACGGTAGATTGGAAACCCGTAAAATGTTGATCACTATTTTTTTTTGGTTAGTTCGTTCTGATAAACTTTTTGAGGACAGAGATAATTAGGGTTCTTCAAAAAAGCATTTTTGGATGAATTCCTTCAGAAAAGGGGATACAGTAGTTTGCTGGATTCGGAGGTTTCAGAAATCTTAGATCGTCAAAACCTTTTGCTGAAAAGCACCCCCTAACTGTCAACTTTGAGCTGATTTTTGTCGTTTTCAGAGAAAGATGTAGAAAAGTAGTTAATTTAAATAACATTTATTACTGTAGAACAGATATTTTGTCGGTTGACCACTTTTTGGTACCTATTACAGTAACCGAGATGATAGTTTCTTTTATCTGGTCAAACTTAATGGTTTGGGGGCCCTTTTATTGCAGGTTTTACGGTGGTTTAGTTCTGAATTTGTTTCTCATTGTCTCTATTGATTTATCATACTGACTAAAACAGTATGAACAAAAATCCGTTTTTGAAAAAATTCGAAATCTTTCCTTACCTTCTTTACTAGGTAGCAGCCTACCCAAACCTTCAACTTTGAGCTTGATAACCTCAGTTCCCATGAGAGATATCAAATATTTGTCAATTGATAAAATATTTTTCATATTATGATGAACAATTTATTAGCTAACAAATGTATAATTTCTTTCACAGAAATCGAAATAATTGAGCTCAAAGTTGACTGTTGAAGTGAGCTTCTATTATAGAAAATATTATACTTCAAAATTATTCTGGCATATCAACTGTTTCCAAAACTGCTTTTTCAGTTCTGCAAACATTAATGCTTTTGCCAATATGCGCCTAAACTACACTATTTTCATTCCTCTTTGTAAAAAACCACTTGAATTTTTGCCATACGTTTTTGAAGTGCACATGTTCTATTCTCCATGTTCTTTCCAGCTGCTCAGAGATGATTCTCCGTGTTCTTTTATGCCTAGTCAACCCAATTCTCACTCCCTTTATCCCAGTGTAAATCTAATTCTGGTCAACCCGACTATATTGGGTGTGACATGTCCTTTTTATGAGTTTCCTCCGCTCTTCCACGTCGTTGCTTTTATTGCTCAGCTCCTTGTGGTTCTTGGAGTATATAGGGGTTGAATGGGAAAGAGAGAAAGGGGAAACAAAAAATTTGTAAGGAAAATTCTAGAAAAATCTAGAAAAAAGAAAGAAGCAGGTGAAAATAAACGGAAAGGTATTGAAAAAGTAATGCACCTGACATCTGGCAACCTGGAACTTTCGAGTCGGTGTCTTCTAAAATTCGACATCTCTTAGGTTTCATCTGTTCCATGACTACTTTAATCCTATCTCTTTGACTTTATCTGAAAACAAGTAAATTTCCAGTTGATGCATCTTTTTTCCTTCCGTTCCCATTTCCCAGAACCCGTCTCCCTTCCGTTCTCTCTGTTTTCTGACTCTTCTGGAGTGTGGAGGCAAAAAAAAGACCCAAAACGAAAACTCAATCAACCGCGCCCCCGTTATCGCCTCCACAATAATCAACATCTCCTTCTGAATGCCCTCGGAAGACTGCGTCCAAGAAGTCGGAATATGGAAAAATAAGATCTCGTCTCCCTCTTGCTCCGAAGAGAAATAAGACTCCGCCCATTCTTCTCTCGTTTTTCTTCTTCTGAGGCGTAGAAGAAAAAAGAAGAAGAGAATATTTTGAGTGGTTGGGGTGGGGAGAGTGTGGTTCTCTCTCTCTATGTGTTAGTGTTTTTCTTCTTCGGAGACTTTGTGCCCCCCGACACCACCCGACCCCCATCACCATCAAACTTGGTTCTCATGATTTTACGAATCATACTGTTACTGGGAATCGGATGCTGGAGACTTGGTAGTTCTGGTGAGTTGGGTTTCCAGATCACACGAATCGTTTGAAAAATCTTATTTAGAATTCCAGAATGCCCGATTTCAGAATGACTAGAATATGTAAAGGAATTCGAAAATCAAACATGTTAAAATATTTTTTTGAAAAATGTGTATTTCTATTCGAAAGTCTGACTATTCTTTGGATTCTTGAAAAACGATATATGGTGTCTTTTAGGATCTACCATAGCTTCCTTAAAGATCACTATTTTTGGACCAATCTAAATGAATATGATAGAACTACTGCAAGATGAACTACTGCAAAACGAGTACTGCAAAATGAAATCATTCAAAAAGATGTACCTTGTCTATGAACAAAGTTACAAGGTTATAAAGTTGTGACAGCGAAGCTCAGACGCTTTTCGCCTCGTAACTTTGTTCATAGACAAGATACAGCATACCAAATAATACAATTTTGTAGTAATCGTTGAGTTCTATCATAACCAATTTACTTGGTTTTAAAATATTCATTCTAAAAGAAACTATGAAAAGTCTAGCCAGGGAACCAATTCTGTATGTTTTTTGTTTTCTAAAAATTTCTAATTCCTATCCAGACAGACATCCTCCATTCTCTTTAATTGGTAGTTTATTAGTCTCTGTTTTCTCCTGGGGATGCCCTTCTTCTTTTCTGTTTTTTTCTACTTCCCGTTTTCAGCGCAATGCTACAGCTGCTCCTCTCCTCAATTGCACCTCAAATGGGTGAGCTTTCATTCCTTTTTCTTTCACTTTCTAAAAACGTCATCATTAGTTGATGGTGTCTGTTAGAGTTGAAGAGGCCAAGAATGCAAATGGAGTGGCAAATATCCGCTTTCAAACAGAAGCCATTTTGGTTTTTTGGGGGCTCAATTATTAGTTTTTATTTTCAGCCAAAAGATGAGAACACTAATCGGCTGTTGTATCTGCAAGAGTTCCCGTGGTTTGCAAATGAAAGTTGTGAGACGGTGAGCATTTCAAAGATTTGGAATACCCAGAATCTGAAAAACATTTTTCCATACTTTTAGAATCGTTATTTTTGGATTAACTAAAATAAATAAAATAGAACTTGACGAGTACTACAAAATAATACTATTTGGATCACTGTAACTTGTCTATGAACAAAGTTACAAGGTCATAAAGATGTGACCGCGTAGCTCAGACGGGTTTTGGCTTGTCACTTTGTTCATAGACAAGATACAGTATTCTAAATAGTATCATTTTGTTGTACTTGTCAAGTTCTATCATATTCATTTTAGTTGGTTCAAAAATATTGATTCTAAAAGAAACTATGGCGGGGCCCGCGAAGGACTGCCAACAGCCCGGTTTGTATGAAGGGAAACCTTAATTTGGAACGCCCAGAATATGAAAAAAAAAACTTAGAATTTTTATAAAAGATTGCGTCAAGCTTGTAATGTCCATTAAAAAATATTCTAGAAAAGGTTTAGGTCCGTGACTTGATGCCAGTGGTTGACTGTGAGGATAGTGTATGCATCAAAGCAGTGATCAAACAGCCACCAGCCGAAAGGACGATTTGTGGTCAGTTCAGTTTTCCTTTCTGTTTTTCTTTTTCTGTTTTTCCCGGGACTCCCCGCAGTGTTTTTTCTTCGTTCCACTTGACTTTGACACCCCTAATCTCACCTCCACCCGTCCATCAATCATTCTCCACCCCTCTCATCTAGTTTTTTGCAGAAACGGGCGGTGCAATTGTGCGAGACTGCTGGAGTCGTGTCTTCTCTAACGCCGTCAAGAATCCACGAGCGCGTCGTGACGTCGTCCGTCTGGCACAGACTTCTGACAGCGAGGAGACGATCGGAATCATTTACACTTGCGAGGGTTTCTTGTGTAACTCGTCACGAACTGTGTTCTCTGCGCTCTCTTCGTTTATAACACTATTTCTTTGGTTACTGCTAATTCGACAAAACTGATCGAATTATTTCCTTCTTTTGGTTGCCAGTAGTGATTCTTGATCATCAAATTCTCTCAAAAGTGTAACGGGTCTAATGTATTTCTGTGCCATAGATCTCAGTTCAATATTTATTAACTTATTGAAAGTTGGCCTAGAAAATTGCTGAAAGCCTATGGCTTTTTCTAGGCCATCACTTTTTATGACAGCTGTGTTTGAAAAGTTAGTTAAATAAAGTCTACAACCAATCCACATATTTTTTACAAGTTGTGAAGAAGTGAGTGCACCTCAGCAGGTTGAAGGTGTCCTTCGGGTCTGGGAATGGATTGCACACCTTTCGGGCTTCCGGAAGAACGTCTTCACATCGTCTTAAATTTGATTTCGGCTTTTGAGAGGAAGAAGACTGAAAAGGAATCATATGGAATCAGATGAGTGAGACGTCGTCGCGTAAATATACTAATGAGGGAAGTGACGCTTCACTGGTTTCTTAAGGAGTTAATGTGTTCGAAGATTATGAAATGTAAGTAACAAATGTTGAATGAGGGATCTATAAGTTGTAATAGAATCCCACCCTGCACTTTGAGCTAAATTATCTCGGTTCTTTCAAAAGATATCGACAATTTGTTAACTGGCAAAAGATTTATCATATTGTCAGCACATTTTATCTGTTGACAGATTTTCAATATCTCTAATACGAACCGAGCTAATTGAGCTTGAAGTGCACGATGAGAAAACACGGTATTTACCTTCCCATCTCCAGCCGCTGCTTTCTCCGGTAAGCAAAACTGCTCAAATGCGAAACAGAACTGTAAGGCTTTTGGTTCAACCAATTGAGCTTTGCAGTGTGTTGGGTAGTACGTGTAGTACCTAGCACAATAAGTCATAACAGGCAGTACACCGGTGGTTGAAGCACATGCAGAAACGTACGTTTTGCAGAATTCTTCCTGAAAAATTAAAAAGATTTGGTTTGCTGACAGTAGATTCTCTTGGGCTCTTGGGCTCAATTATTTCGGTTTCTCCAAAAGATATCAAAAATTTGGTCAACTGACAAAATATTTATCATAATGTCAGCAGAATTTGATCAGTTGACTAATTTTTGGTATCTCTTATTGAAATAATCGGGCTCACAGTGGCCGGACTTCTATTAGAGGAAATGCGGTACCTCCGATTTATTAATTTCTCCATGGCATCCACGGACGAATCGTTCTCGTTCCACAACACAGTACTCGCTCACAAAAACTAGCACTCCTTTCTCGTCTTCGATCTTGAGAGCTGGTACAGTGGAGTTGCTCGGAGGGGCGTCCGAAGTTGAGAGCCCGCTATGCTCAATGACTTGATCCACGACGCTCTGAAAATTGTTTTGTTTTTGAACTACCATAAAAGTCCACCTATATGCGCACATTGAACTCAATTTTATCGGTTCCTATGAGAGATATCAAAAAATTGCCAACTGATAAAACGTGGCTGATATTTTGATAAACTATTTGTTAGTTGACAAAATTTTGATACCTTTCACAGGAACCGAGACAAATTACTTCAAAGTTGGCGGGTCAGACGCACACATGTTTTCTGTCGTATACATACTGTTGCGTTTTATTGATAAAGTGAGGTGAAAACTTTAGTATTGACGGTATTTTCCCTATTGTTTCAATATTTATTGAAATTTCACAAAAATTATCTCTTCCTACTTTTTAAAAAATCAGACACCGATCTCCTTTCTTTTTTCTCTCCAATTGCATCTTTTTGTACGGTCAAACAATGAAAAAAGCGCGACGAAAAAATCTCAGTTCAAAAGTTTTATCGTCGAGAGTGAAAACCAGTTTTGTCCTTTTTCGTCATTTTACTCTTACCTCTGTACTCGACTTTCCAGGCTTCGGAAGTTTCACCAAACTTCCCAACTTTTCAGATTCCAATGGTGTAGTGGCGTTTTCAAAATCAACAGCTTCGTCTAGTATATCAGCCGCGGAGGTTGAAGATTTTGGAGTTTCCGTGGTCGTTGTGGTCGTGGTGGTGGTGGTGGTTGTGATTGGAAGAGTCGCTGGCATTGGTGGGAGCACTAGTGGGACCACAGATCGAGCAACGGGCTCTGCTGGAGTGGACGGACCACAGAAATCAAGTTCCGGTCGTTTAAGACATGCTCTCTGGAATAGAAGATTTAGCAAGAATGGAGTATTATATTCTTTTGGTCCCTTTTTGAACAGATTTACATCCTTTGATCTCGGTCTTAACAGAAAGAGAAACCTTAAGAATAACAAATGATAAGAAAACAAAGTGATAACACAGCGGGATATCATATTTACTGATTGTGAGGACATGACCTTATGTCGCAACAATTTTTTTTTGGGTATCAAGATGAACGAGGAAATGAGAGAAATGGAAACATTCAAAGTTAGTAATCTAGGTTACTGTAGAACGGGAATTTCAATTTTCAGATGATAAAGCGACACACAGATTATTAAACACGGGTATATCTTTAGACACAGATATCTTGGAAGCACGAAAAATGGTAGAAATATAATTCTACGTTTGATGCAAGGCAGCGGAAATTTTCAAAGCGATTCCACAAGTCTAAGTATTGCTATGACTGTCCAAAGATGAACGGCGTTGTGATTTTCATGAGATGAAGGAATTTCGACAAGCGATAACTCAGCTCAAAGATGACAAAAACAATTGAAACTTGGCCAGTTTATTGATGAAATATTTGAACTTTTGTACACCAAATTTTATCCCTGTACAGCTCTTCACTCAAATTGTATGCCAGTACAAACTTTGGTATGGGTAATTTTGCGCCAGTCTGAACATATGCATCAAGTCACAGGTCATTAGAGTTTCGTGCTTCTAATAGTAAGATACTTATATCTAAAGATAAACGCATTTTTATCAGTTCGAGCAGTTGTGCGCCACCCTGTACATTATGATAATAAAAACGTACCTGAATAAGTATACTCCTGAAGTCGGACGCACTGCTAACGACGCCTAGCAGTAGCACTATCAAAAATCTCCTTGACGTCATCTGAAGAATCAATTTGTGAGAAAAACAACCCAAACCGAAATAAATCAGCCAAGCGACGAAACAGAACGAAAACGGAAGACGATGAAGAACAAGAAGACGAAAAAGATTGAGATGAAGAATCGCCTGACACTATATCGTCACTTTGGCGTCTTTTAAAGATAACCAACCCCTCCCAAACCATTTTGTTCTTTTTTGCCCCCGTTTTTTCTCGGATTGGATGTCTTGTGATTTCGAATTTTCAATTTTTACTCGGTAGAATTATTGAAAGAATGACAAAGTTACATATAATACAGAAAATGTATGGGGGTGTTCGTATTGGAGACGAAAAGGCGCGGGGTTGGAGGAGAGGTGTCGAAGCGAAGTTTACAAGCAAAAGTGGATAATGAACACATAAAGGAGAAAGTGAATAACGAAATGCAAACAGTTACAAAAATGAACTAGTAAAAGTAAGGAAGGACTAGCAAGCTAATGTATTACGGGAGATTGATTGAAGAGGACGGGGACAGCGGGACAGGAAGGAGAGGAAGAAGGAAAAGCATGTGATAGATAGAATTGAAAGAAATATAAGTGAGATATATATGGATAGGCATGTACAGATGATAAAAATAGATGATGAAAGGAGAGAAAGAGAAGACAGGAATACACAGACTGGATATTGATTGGATTCTTCATCCACTGGTATGGCTCATAGGTGGGAAGTCGTCAGGATCATCCATATTCGGTACGGTTTGACCTAAACTTAAAAGAAATCAGAAAAACTGCAAAACGCTAGTTTTAACAAGCTACTTACTGTTATCCGTGGATTTCCCCGCGGTCCCAACTGGACTAATACGGCAGGATTCGGATTTCGGACCAATGCGGTGTTGCTTGATCAGGTCGAGCTCTCCACCTTCTGGATCCAATCGGTAGGCATAGACGAAGCCGTCAGATGTCGCTGCCATCACGTATTGTTGATTTTTGTGGCTGCAAATTGAAAACATTTGAAATCTAGCATACTGTACATAGAATGCTTTAAGACTACCGTAAAACCTGTAATAGAAGGGCCTTTTTATCTGGCTTCCTGTAAGAGATATCAAAAAGTGATTAACTGATAGACTACTTATCATAATATTACCATCAACATTTTATCAGTTGATACATTTTTGATATCTTGCATTTTTGATATCAGTGGTGGCAAGGCTGTCGAATCAGGGGCGCTGCTTTTTTTGGTTAAGATACTTTCAAGATAGATAGGATTAGGCTGCCTAGCGACCCTTGAAGGTTTTGATTGGCTGAGCTGATTCCCAGGATAACGGACAGTTTGGTCCACTGCTACTTAAACATGGCCCTAAACGCGGCCGGCCGCGGCCTTGCTTTCGACAGCTTTGCAGTGTAAGGGCCCTTATATTACAGGGCTTACAGTATATTTCTTATTTTTCAATATTTCTCATGGCTAGACAAAATGCTCAGTTTATGATGAAGAATATCTGAGGAATTTGTCGATAGAGCACTCTTGCTCATTTTGCTCATTTTTGAAATAATGTTGAAATCTTACCCAACAAGAGCAACTTGATTGGTTCTTGTGAGCCCTGGAAGCTTAGCCGTCGCAAAACTACGCTCCGTGGTCATCAACTCTGACACCTGCAGAACTTGGGATGGCATGTACGCCGAAAAGGTCTTGTTGATGGTATCAAACCAGCTGCCACCCTCATTCGATGCTTCTCTGAAAATTTAGAATGGATACTGAGTTTACAAAAAGTCAAGCTAGCTTACGGTTTCTCCTCTCCGTCTGGTTTTTCCAATTTGAATACGTGAATTGTTTCAGTATTGGAAGACGAAGCAAGATACTTGGAATCTGATGAGAAGCAAAGAGAGTAGATCGAGACACATCTGGAGACTCCACGACGGAATTCGAAGAGACGATTTCCGGTAGGAACAGAGTAGACCCGAATGACAGTTCCTTTTGTGCTAGCCGTGGCAATCATATTTCCTTCTTGATTGAATTTCAACGAAGCCAAAGTTCCCTCATGAGCGACAAATGTGTTGACTGAAGAGAGATTCATCGCGTCGAATAAGTGTACGGATCCGGTATCTGTGCTTCCCGGGTAGGCGATCAAAGCATGGCCAGGGTTGCTGGTGAGGTCCAGGACTCCCAGTTTATTCATTGGCGTGTCCATAATATTATGCATCATTTTCATATCCTTCAGGTTGTAGATGTAGATACAGTCTTCCAAACAAACAACGATTCTCTGAGGAATAAGCAATATTACGAAATACTTGAAGTTTTCTTACCTCTCTATTAAGTCGAACTGTCAAAATGGACTTGTTGAATCGGTGATCACAGATGATGTTCTTGCTTGTGAAGTGGTAGACATGGAGGACACGTGGATCCTTTTGCGAGATAACAACCATCAGAGCGGATGAGAAAAGCCGCTCGATGATCAGACAATTGTTGAGACCCAGGTCTGGAACTAGCGAATCTTGGGTTAACAAATTGAGATGGTTCAGTGGTAACATACGATTCAGGCTCTGGCCTTCGCATGTTAGTGTCGAGTTCTCGAGGATGTCGGAGGTCTTGTAGAACATGTAGCCTTCTTTGTGACCGACGGATATGATTCTGGAATTTTTTATTTAGTTGGGAGGTTTTGATGGAAGCTACAGTAACCGTAAAACCTGTAATAGAAGGGTCCATTCTTCGAGCCAATTTATCTCGGCTCCTGTGAAAGATATCAAAATGTTGTCAACTGATAAATTGTTTATCATAATAACAGAAACATTTTCTCAATGAACACTTTTTTGACATCTAAAATAGGAATTGAGATAATTGAGCTCAAATTTGTGGGTCCTTTTGTTACAGATTATTCGGTCTCATTCTCTTGAAAAATCAATTCTTCCCCTAGGAAAGAACGCCAGATCGATTTTTTGGAGAATTTGTTCTTTTTTTTGCTCATTTTTGTTTTCCAAACAGTTCCTCATAATTTTTCAACTTACTTGGCATCTTGATTGAACCCTATGTAATTGATACTTTCTGGAACTTCATCTGGATTTGCGGTTGACATCTGGAAAACACAAAAACTTTAGATTTTTGGACTTCCCAAAGGAATTCCAACAAAATTGAAAAATGAGCAACCAGAGGATTGAGCAAAAAAATTGAATCGAAAAAAAGTTGTGAAATTTAACATGAGAAAAATAAAACAAAACCCTAGATACTACATGATGTTGGGAGTCTACAAACATACACAATGAGGTGGGGAAGAACAGACACAGACGGGTCACCAGTGTACGTCAGCTGATGGGAGGGGGGAGACGAACGAGAACGCAACGCGGGCACGAGGTTTTTGCAATACTGCCGCACGCTTCTGGGGTTTTTGATTGTTGAGGCGTAGACGGAGAAATTGGGCCGGGCAAGTCTGCGTCTCTTGGTTGTTTTCTCTATCTCACAGGAAGGAGGAGAAGAGAATGAAGAAAAAAAGTGTATTTTAAAAAGAACAAAAGAAATATTGAAAATTCTTGGGGTTTAAAGAAAAAGACATAAGAAGACATGTGAAGTAAAATGTGGAAAAGGAAACTGAACTACTTTATTACTAACAGAAGCTCACTACGTGCACTTTAAGCTCAATTATGTCGGTTCCTATCAGAGATATCAAAAATCTGTCCACTAATAAAATATTGGTGGTATGATAATAAACATTTAATCAATTGACTGATTTTTGATATCTCTCCTGAGAACCGAGATAATTGAGCTCAAAGTTCACATAGGGTGGGCGTCTATCAGAGCGGAGGAATTTCTGAAACTATGTCTTTCTTTGACCAACTTTTTCTCGGTCCCTGTGAAAGATACCAAAAAACTATCAACAAAAAACTGTTTGGCTTTATATCAGAAGCATTTCATTAGTTAAAAATTTTTTGAAATCTCTAACAGGAAACGAGATAATTTGGGTCAAAAAAACCACATTTTTAAGGAATTTCACAGATTTCAAAGTAAAAATTCAAGTGTTATTTTAACGTGATGAAACCCTTTTCTTAGGGATAAAAAAAGCAAAAAAAGAAGAAGAAGAAAAAACCCGGTAAAATATAAAACAAAAAAATACGTGTATTGGTTTCCTATGACCCTCGATGGCCCATTGACCTCCGGAAGATTACGATAAAGGAAGAGTGAAGTGAAGAATCAGTTCTTGCCTTCTCTGGGCTCCAGAGAGGGGGAGGGATCAGGGAGGCCTGGTCCTGGAGCTCGGGTCCCTCGGGTACTGGAGGTCGGGTACTGGGACCAGGAGCCTGGAGCTCGGGTACTAGAGCCTGGGCCCTGGAGCCCTTGTCCTGGAGCCCGGGACAACGATCCCGGGTTCCTGGAGCCCGGGTGCTGCAGTCCGGGTTCTGGAGCCCGGGTCCGTGAAATACAAAATAACTTTTCAAGTCATGCCGTGTGATGATCTACGAGGGACAGGATCTTTTGGATCGCTTCTGATGGTTCAGACTGAAAATAAGAAAGAACTGAATTGATTGATCCTACCATTTCTTTTTGAAACTGGATTAAAATAAATATCATTCGCTTTTAATTCTTTATGATTTCTGAAGAACTTTACACACAGAATTTTTAAAATTTTAAAACTCGAAATTGAGAATGCTTCTCTGAAAGTTTACATTATTGCCGTATTTCCTCTAATAGAAGTCCACCCAAACCGTTAACTTCGATCTCAATTATATTGGTTTCTATGAGAGATATCAAAAATCTGTCAACTGATAAGATATAGGTTATATTATGATAAGTAATTTATCAGTAAAATTTTTTTTTGATATCTCTCATAGGAACCTTGGTAATTGAACTCAAAGTGCACATGCAGGGTGTACAAATACGGTATTTTATATCTTCAAATTAGTGCCCATTATGACATATTACGACGCTTTCAATTATTCTTTATTGGCTGAAATTTCAAACCATAAAACTACCAATAACAATTTTTTATGTTGACACTTTTTGAGCAAACACATTGAACTATAACTATTAACAGTCGAGGCTAAGAAACACAAATATACAAAATAAGCAATGTTAAAAACAATTTCAGAAAAATTCTTCAGATTCCAGCATCTCATAAAATTGATTTATCCTTCTTTGATACAACGGCTCAATGTACTTGTATCCCGTCAATGCTAGATGGGACCCATCGTAGGTCAAGGCTTTATAGGTTTCCTTCTCATACAGGTATAGTTTGTCTTGGTCATTTATTAAAGCCTGAAAGAATGGAATTTCTCAAAAAAAATTCAGTCTTCATAAGTTTACCTTCTGCACATCATTGTAATAGCAATTACTGCAATTCACGTTCATCAATCTGTCAGTCTGCTCTTCAACTTGCTTCTCCGCATCCTCCAAACTCACCGACAAACGTTCCAAACTTTTTCTATAGATCAAACTTCTTGCAATAAGCTTGCTTGGCATGTCTTTAGTGATGTAGTACGGTAGATCCAAATAAACCATTTTGGCCAATTTTTCGAATTCGCCCAAGACACGGGGAACGTTCCTATCCATTACCGGGGATGAAAAATTACCATTATTATCAGATCCAAATAAAATTTCGCTGAAAATAAAATTTCATATTTTTGTTAGGTGGTCAGAGACTCACTTCATTCCCTGTATGATCCATATTAAATCCGGTTTCATTTCTTGCGCCATATCCATGACCACGTAGTTGTAATAAGGAAATATGTCGAGGAGAGGGGCGCCGCCTATAAGTGATTAGCTATAAATTGGTTTTAAGTTTTATTAAATTACCATGTTTAGCAAAAAGTCGAATTTCTTCATATTGGCCATCAACGAGTTTATAGATAGTGGGAAATGCTCGAATAGATAGCGAATTTCCAACAATCATAATTTTTCCAGTTCCATTGCTTCTCTGAAAGAAAGAAGTTAGATTAGTTTCGTTTTGAATACCTCACATGTGCACAATATTCAATTCCAAATTTGTCAATTGGGAGGTCAATAGTTGTCTCATTATAGTCACATTCTAATTCGAACACCGGTTTCAAGACATTTTCTTCAATCAAATTGAATTTCGCTTTTTCCTGCAGATCCTTTGACAAAGTCTTCATAGCCAAGCATTCCATCCGGATAAGGCAAGGAATCAAGGCTACACAGATTCCAATAACGAATACAGTTATTGTGAAGTTGACACTGAACTCTAATTCGAGGAGTTTTCTCTGAAAATGTTCTTATTTTATTGTTCTGCATCCACCCGGAATCTCATTAAACCATATCTCGTCTGTTGATCTAATTCACTAAATTATCTTTTGACCATAAAAACATTAAAACGGCTTCAAGATAAGATCATGTTCAAATGCTTACCTCCAATTTATAATGAGCTAGCAGAGATAGTACAAAGATAATGGTTACAGCAATGAGTGCTTCTGAAAATTCAAAGTTTTTTGAAAACTTAAAAAAATCAACTTACCATAAACATCTATGCTCGAATTGTCCTTTTGCTGGATATACCTCACAAAATTGATAACTGGCCAGTGAATCAAGTAGGTGACATATGAAATGTCACCAATGAAGACTAAGGGTTGGAGTCTGGAAAATTAAATGATGTGAGAGCAGGGCTGTAAAAACCGACGGCCTGTCGAAGCCGCTGCCCAAAAGCCGAGGGGTCGGAAGGCCGCGGCGACAACGCGGTCATAAAGCCGTCCGCGGCAGGCCGTGCCACATCCCTGGATTTAAACGATCAACGTACGTCAGAAAAGACTGTTCCAACTTTTCACACGAGTAACACAACATAGCAGCAGATAAGGACATGACCAACCTATAAAATTAGATAATTAGATCTTCAAATTCAATTATCTAGGTTTCTATGAGAGATATAAACATTTCAACTACTGATAAATTATTTACCATAACATCACCATTATTTAATTAGTTGACAGATCTTCCATATCTCTCATAGGTACTAAGATAATTGAGCTCAAAGTGCACGTACTTACCTTGCGGAATGTTCTTGAAAAATCCATGGTAGCATCAAAACTGTAAGGAGAACAACCAAAAAGATATGAGGGATTCCATCGAAAACATTGAAATCAGTTTTTTCGTTCTTCTTCTCTGTGTGAAAATCCAAAACTAGATCATTCCTCTGTGACATTTCAAAGGCAACAGAACCTAGCAGAAACTGCCACACTCTTGCGGCAAGGAAGCAGTAGGACAACTCAAATGGGGTCAGCAGTTGGAAGAAAAATAAAATGATAATTGCAATTAAATATCCAGTTATTCGATTCACAAATGGTAGATTTGATGCAACCAAATGAACTATTGGGACTATCAAGTAGTACTGTAGCTCGGTAGCCAAGGACCAAAGATGGGTTAGAAATCGAATTGTGGAGACTTGATCCCAATAAGAATGATGCTCAAAAATAGGTTGATAGTTGGAAATCAGGGCAAGACACCATTTGACATCAAGGATGAATTCCGTGCGCTCGGATTTCAGGACCAGAGATAACACCCCTGGAAGCTTTGAATAGAAAATACACCCAATCAGAATGCATACCTAAAAGTGTGAAGAAGATAGTGAAATAATATAAGGGAACTATCCTTGAAAATCGTTTCTTGTAGAAATCAACTACAGACAAAACAGTGAATTCCTTTGAGAGAATCCTGGTCATCAAGTATCCGGATAATACAAAGAACATATCTACTCCAACAAATCCATTGACAAAATTTTTTGGAAAAAAATGGAATATCAGCACCAAGAGTATAGAAATTCCACGTAATCCTTGTAAACTTTGAAGTTTCGACGACATCTTCTGAAAAAATTTTAGTGATGAGCCGGGAGTTTCTTTAAGAATAGATATTTCGGATTAACTAAATCAGAAATGATGGAACTTGACGAGAACTACAAAGTGATACTATTCGGAAAACCTTATCTTGTCTATGAACAAAGTTACAAACCGAAAACCGTCGGAGCTACGCGATCACAAATTTATGGTCTTGTAACTTTGTTCATAGACAAAATACAGTAATCCAATTAGTATCAATTTGTAGTACTTAATGAGTTCTATCGTAACTATTTTTTTTGGTCTAAAATATTGATTCTAAAAGAAACTATGGCAGGAAAGGCCAGGCAAAGCAAAGGCCCGGTTCACAAGTTCGAAAAAAATAGAACAAGGAAGTCAATGGAATCAAGAAAACTGTTGTATTGAAAGAAGTGGTAGGCGTTTGTCAAATAAAAACATCACGTCGACTGTCTGACCGCGTAATCTCGATCATTTGCATATCGAAATGTCTTAACCAGGTCACTGGTTTTCTTTATAAAAGCAGCACATAAGAAATTCGTTTGAAATCAATAGAATATCTAGGAACAATGTTTTCAAGGATTCCAAAAAAAAGGCTAGACAGAAAATTGAACGGCATACGTCCATTTTCATTCAAAGAAATACAAGGATTGTATTGTAACACAAAGAAATATGTTCAGAAACCAAACGATGGTTTAGAAAGGGCACATAATAAGCCGAGGATAGAGTTTTTTTTCAACCGGATAAACGGATTTCAGCGCATGTTCCTTGGAAAATTGTGTCAATGTACATGTGTTCGGAACAACCTGACCTGATCTTGAAGCAAAGAATCAAGAACGAATTTTGTTGAAACATGCAGTACCGGTCAAACAGATATACAGAAACGTAATTTTCCGTTGATTTTCGGCCATTTTAACCATTTTCAGAAGTCTGGATCTCAGAAATCAAGTTTCCGATTACTTTGAAAGCTTTGCATGCACAGAAATCCCTAGTTTTTCAGTTATTTGGCGCTTCCTGAAGGACATTCCTTTCTGACCCGTTTTTGTACTGAAAACCAGAAAATTCAATCTAGGTCTGTTTTATATCCTTCAAAACTTTCACAGTGATCGGAAACTTGACAACCGAGCTCCCGATTGCTGAAAATTGGTCGAAATGGTCGAAATCAATTAGTACTGTACATGGAACGTTGGCAGGCAGACAGTAACCGAAACCAAACATGGTTTCAAAGAAAAAATCAATATTTTTTGATAAAAGCAGAAAAATAAAAGAATTCTTTTGAGAAGGTGTAGAAAAAAGGACATATCTGCAAACTAAACGACACACTTTCTAACTTTTTAATGAACATAGTTCTATCTTCTATTTGTGAATAATGTCAAATGATAGATGTGATTAAAAACGTTTGTCTCGTTTCTTGTTCTGACAGGGGAGAAAAGGATTATTCTACGGTTGATCTGTAAACAACATAGTACTGTAGTTCATGTTTTCATCGTATGTGCATCTTTGAGAACTGTGTATTTTCCAATATTGTTTTTTTTTGTCATCTTACGCCTCACCGATGCTAGTTCAGAAATTCGATTTTGACAGTAAGAGCTCACAAGGATAGAGTGGTGGTATGACTTGAGGAGAGCTTTAACGTCTATATTCTTAACGATATGAGGCTGATTCAAAGCATTATGGATACACCAATGAACCTCCGTGGTGTGATTGACTTGACCAGCAACCACGAGAAGGCAATCATTGTCTACCCAAAAAGCCCAGACACCATCCTGTCGGAGAACCGGTTATTTTTCAAAAATATTCTATCTTACGCCCCACCAATGCTATTTTTGCAGCTCGTCCACATAACCATATTCTACTACATCTTATCTCACACCCCACACCTCCATGCACCCACCACCAATCCTATCCCATCGTAGAATCGCAGAGTCGTAGAGCCTCCTCGACCGACGACGACAATAATTATTATCGCTGCGGGACCCAAGGGACCATCTGACCTTACTCTGCGTGATCCCTCCCCTAGTGACCCCCCCCCCACCTTCTTCCTCATTCAATGCCCTCCCCGCTCGCCTCCTCATTACCCTGTCTTCTGTTTGTCGACTCCATTCGCATTCATTCCTCATCCTTTACTCCTTGTCTTACGTGCCTTTTTCTATTGCTATGTATATGGATTTCTCCTCATATTTAGTCATTGATTCCTCAAATTTAACTTCTAAATTTGTGTATTTTTATCTCTTTTGCCAACATTTTGAACCTAAGAATTGCAGATGGACGCTTCAGAACAGTCACACGAGACAATCAAGTTTATCTCATTCACTCAGGACGCCAAGTGAGTTTAACCAACTTTAAAATTCACTAGATATTACTATGGTTGTCTTCATCATAAAGACCAAAACTTAAAAAAAAAGGTTTTTCACTGATTTTGAGCAAGAAATCAATTGCATGTCCTTCCTGGGAGGCCTATGCGTCCTGCGAGGCCTCAGAGGGGCCTTTCGAGCAGGCAAACATAGACTTGGGGTCAAGGGCAAAACTAGAATTGTAACAATAGCAATTACCCTTTTCAGAATCATCTCAACTGGTCACAAGGATGGGATCACGTTCTACAAAACATCAGATCTTCTGGAGAACCAGGTCATCCAATCTGAAACTATGAAAGGTAAGGATTCCGCAGAGTTTTGGTTAGGGGTTCCTATGGGATAGATAGGATACAACCGTCTAGCGGTCCTAATGGCTTCTAGGTAGCTGATGGTCTACGACAACCTACCTACGGTCTGAGTCGGCCAGCCGCGGTCGACCGCGACTGCGATTCGCACAGCTTCGTTCGTATTTTATATATTTTCAGTTATTATTTTTCAGACAGTGGCCTTCACAATTCAGTCTTAATCCAACGCCTTCACTCATCCGCTCTCTTCTTCGCTGTCTCAGAAAAAGATCCACGCGCACTGAACGTCTACAACGTCCACAACAAAAACGCCATCACCAGTCTCAAGTTCAGAAAGTCGATTTTGGCAGTCAGAGCTCACAAGGACAGAGTGGTGGTATGCCTCGAGGATAGCATTCACATCTACATTCTCAACGAAATGAAGCTAATTCACAGCATCATGGATACACCAATGAACCTCCGTGGTGTGATTGACTTGACCAGCAACCCCGAGAAGGCTATCATCGCTTACCCAGGAAGCCCAGACACTGGATCCGTGCACCTCTTCGACGCTATCAATTACGGCTCGATGAATACATTCGTGGCTCATGAAGGAGCACTTGCTTGTTTGAAGTTCAATCAAGACGGATTGATGTTGTCCACAGCTAGTGTGAAGGGTACTGTCATTCGTGTCTACTCAGTCCCATCCGGAAGCCGTTTGTTCGAATTCCGTCGTGGTGTCTCCAGATGTGTCACCATCAGCTCTTTCTGCTTCTCTGCTGATGGCAAATATCTTGCCTCGTCTTCAAATACCGAAACTGTTCATGTCTTCAAGCTGGAGAAAGAGGAAGCAAAGACACAGTAAGTATTATTTTTTGAATTTCTGAAAATAATGGGATTTTTTTCCAGAGAAACTGGCGAAGTCAGCTGGTTCGATACCATCCACAAGACCCTTGCCGCCTACTTGCCAACTCAAGTGATGCAGGTGTCCGAGTTGGTGACCACAGAGCGCAGCTTTGCTACCGCCAGACTTCCAGGAGCCGCGAAGAGCAATCAGGTTGCTTTGATCATGTAAGAACTTTTTTCTATGGTCTCGGAGCCCATTTTATTGTTACCTTTCAGTCATAACAACCATCAACACGTCATGGCCGCCACATCAGAGGGATTCGTCTACTCCTACCGTTTGGATCCAGAAGGCGGCGAGCTTGACCTCATCAAGCAGAACTGCATTGGACCACATGCTTTTCAGCAGACCGTCCCCACCATTGATGATTCGATGAACTTCCCACCAATGAATTTTAGAAGTATGTAATAACTAACGATTTGATCTCCCTTGTGTAACTCTATGTGATCTATGTGATCTCCCTTGTTTGTATCTCCAGTCTACCTCTCCCTGTCTTTCATTGTCTCAGAATGTGCACTGGTCTCTTTGAAAATCAGATGCATTTGATAATGCCAATACGTTCCTTATGGTTTATATAAATTTTATATAAATGATTTTATTCTAACTCTGGAGGTGAGGAGAAGTATTACACATATAAAAACTCGAAGCCGTATTCACATTAAACGTCTTCTGACCACATCTGACAACTGCTTGAATAAGAAGCAAGTGACATCTCCAACTGAATGTTGACAGTATAGCTCAGTATTAGCAACATAGGAGAAGTCTCCTCTCGCACAGATCACATTGAAGCGTCCGCCCATTGTGGACTCAGCTTCCTCTTGAATTCGGCGTTTGGCGATGGCGGTGACCCGGTCGATTTTCTAAAGTTTGAGGTTTCAAAGGAATAGTGATTCTCAACCCACATTTTCAATGATTTTTCGGAGTTCTTCGGAATTGCATCTGCCGTCTGAAGCTGCTTCGGTGTCGTCTTCTCGCTTGACTCTTCGAGCAGGATCTGAAAATCCGAAATGTTTAGAAGTATCCAGCAGTATGTAAACCTACCATGGCTTGCCACATAAGTCGCATTGCTCAGCATCAAATGCCTTCTCTTCCGTCGTCCTTTACAAGTTCCACACGTGTTACAGCAAGCCTGAACTGGCGGCGGAGAGCATGTCATAATAGGAGCACATGGAGTTACAGTAGGACAAGTCGATGGTGGTGGAGTACATGTGCACCCACAGTTAGATCCACCGCCAGATGGAAAGAAAAATGAGGATATTGGTTGGAGTAGTAAGAAAAGGAAAAACGGTAAAGTCAGCATCTATGGAATGGAGAAGAAGTGGTTGGAACGTGGGGGGGGGGGGGTGGACAATGAAACTGTGCTAATCCCTTAATCCCTAGCCAGAAGAAATTCGTAGGAGGAGGAGGTATAGGAGGAGGAGGAAAAAGGTTCCAGAACTGGTTTATTGGATGTTTGAAACTTTTTTTTCGAGGATTTAGATTTTGAGATCTCTTACGCTTAAAATGATAAGCTTAAGAAATGAGTTTATTAGAATTTACAAAAAATAATAAAGAAGGATTTCAAGATCCTGCGTTTGATAAGCTTAACAAATGGGTTTATTAGAAATTTACAGAAAAGTAATTAATTGGAATACGATTATGCTGGCTAGACAGTATTCGGGTCATGTGTCAGATCCGACACATGGAATCCCACAGGCAAATCGGCTGGTCCCAAACCATCTGCAAACAAAATAGACGGACCTTTTCCTTCTGGTGGCGATGGGGCCAATTTGAATCCGTGGCGTGGTGGATCCGAAAACGGGATTGGTTTATCCATGACAATCGGAGAAACCACTTCGGTTTTCTTGGAATTATGACAGCAGCAGCAAAAGATACTGATAACGTGTTGATAAGAACGAATGCACCGTAAAACTTTTAATAGAAGGGTCCCTAGCATTAATCTTTGAGCAATCTTATCTCGGTTCATGTCGAAGATATAATACAAGTTGTCAACTGATAAAATTTTTATCATAATATCAGAAGTCTTTTGTCAGCTAACACATTTTTGATTTCTTTGAGAGGAACCTAGTTGAATTAGCTCAAAGTTAAAAGTTAGGGGCCCTTCTATTACACGTCTTACGGTAATCAGTTGGAAAAAAAAACAACTCACTGGTTCTTAATCCATTCCATTCTAGAGGTTTTCTGTGATTCGAAAAACAAATCTGTTTTGACAATACACCATTGGCAGGCTAGTTTTTAAAAGACGTAGAGAAAAGCCGGAAATTAGATGGGATTTGCGGAGGGTCATGCATCCAGGAAATTGGAATCTGAGGTAGGAACAGAAGTGGGCGGAGGCTATTGTTATCCAGAAAAAGTGTGAAATTGAAAATCAAACTTTTGGGTACTCTCAACTTTAGATAGTCTGTGCTCCTGAAAATTCAAGGCTCAATAATCCGAAAAAAAGTGGGATGTGCCTCCACCGACCTACGGGCGGTCTACGGGCGGCCCAGGCAGCGCCTTCAAGGGAAAAGCAAGGGACCATATAAAATAACACATTTATGGAATGACCAGACAGCTCTATTGACATATAACAAAAAGATACATGTGCACTTCACATGATTTTCAATACGACAGGACGTCTTGGTGGAACCACCTGAACCTCGAAATTTCAGGAATCGTGGGAAATTTCATTTTTGGACAATATCTTCCGTATTCTGTTCTTTTGACCGTTAGTTCTTTTTCGCAACACATACTAAACTTCTAAAAATAGCTGTCCGTTATTACTGTTTACCTAGTTTTCTCTAACTATCCAAAGTGCCCTTCTCAACATGTTCTTTGAACATGCACATCAGCAAATACCAGGCGAATTGAAGTCGAATTGATAAAAAGAACACATTCTGGAAAAACCCTCGACACAACTTGTCGAATGCTGCAATGAACGGAGGAGCTGGAAAACGAAAATTATCGAGTCTTGTTGCGGTGAAGTTTCCAGTGGACACGGTGAAAAAGTTGAGGAGGACTGAAGGCGTCGGATCGGTTTTCCAGGAGACGCAACATTTTAGTAGTGAGTTAAAATGATTCAGTTTGTGAGATTTTTGAAAGTGATTTTTTGAAATCAGCTAATTTCGAAAATTCGCTTGAAACTTTTCCAAAATCATTTCAAACTATTTAAGCATGGTGGCCCAATTTTTGCAAGTTGAGTTTTCTAAGCCATCATCGTAAACGGTTAGTAATAGACCTCACCTGGTGTGTTTCCTAGATCATTTACCACCCCACCCAGCGCATGTTAAACTTTTTCTAAGCCATTTACCCTTGCGGCCTAGAAAACCCAACTTGCGAAAGTTAGGCCATGATGTTAAGATGGCTTCTTTGAAAACACACCAGATATCAGGCAATTTCTAGGCCATTCACCATGGTGGCCTAGAAAACTCAACTTGCGAAAGTTAGGCCACCCTGTTAAAAAGGCCTGGAAAACCCACTAGGTAAATATCCTGCTATTTATTGGCCATGAAAGTTGGTGGAAAAAAAAGAAAAATCATGTTGAAAAAGTTAGGCCACACAATAGCTGTAATAACAAAATCTGATATTTTCAGCAATCACAACAGTCAATGGGCCCAAACGAATATTCTACGGGAAGCGAAGCGCACGGGTTTTCTGGATCCTGGTGGTCTTTGCCATTTTCATTTTTCTGATCTACCAAATTGTCATAGTGCTCATTTATTTTCTCTCAAAGCCCACACTATCTCAGGTTTTGATTTTTTGTCGACTTCCAAACCACCACACTATTTTCAGATCTCGTTTATTGCCAATGAGGGCGGTATGGAGTTTCCAGCAATTACAATTTGTAACTTGAATCCTGTGAAAAGCTCATTTATCAAAAAGTTGAATTCAACTGGAGACCTGAATGAGGATGTTTTGAATTACTTGCTGGCAACAAAAACAAATTCCATGTACATGTACAATAATGTGAATATCGGTTCATTGGAACAGGGACACAACTTATCTATGGAGTATCTTCGAAACCATCCAGACCTTCAAATCGTTGATTTTCTAAATTCCGCACAATTCGATTGTGATGAGCTTTTCGAAACCTGCTATTTTGGAGGAAAACGATTCAATTGCTGCCAATATATGACCCAATCTACAACTTCTCTTGGAAAATGTTGGGAACTAAACCTGCAGAATGGATCGGAAATATGGATGCAAAAATCACAGAGAATCTCTCCGAAAGCCGGGCTTCAGATAGTGGCAAATGCTAGACACGCCGAGCAATTCACCAGTTTCCATTATTCAAGTTTTCAAGAAAACGGCTTCCGATATTTCATTCATCCTCCGCAAGTTAGTCCTGATTTGGAATCAGAAGGGATCACAGTATCACCATCGAGAATTGTCAATTCTGCAATCAAAGCTATATTGGTGAGTAACGGAATTCTTATTTTTGTGGCCTAACTTTTTTATCGTGATTTTCTAGGCCATCGTAGTCGATGACCCATAAATGATCTATAATGCAACAGATGTGTTTTCTAGGTCATTTTGACATGGTGTCCTAACTTTCGCAAGTTTAGTTTTCTACGCCACCAACCTCTATGGCCTAGATTCTCCTATGGCCTAGACTTTCATGGCCTTAGATAACTAGATATCCTATCTTTCGAGAAACACACACTCCTTCCAGCACGATCTTCTGAACCGTGACAACTGGGGAAACTGCACATCTAAATGGCCCGACGACTATAATACCGATCTACCGTACTCCTCGTCTGTCTGTCAAGCTCTGTGCGTAGCGAATCATTTTGAGAAGCTATGTGAATGTATTCCATATAGTTATAACATTAATAATAGTGAGTCTTAACAAAATTCCAGTGGAAAAAAATGTTTTTGAGAACCCGATGTTTGTTTTCCATACGAGGAGGTGTCATGTATGAAAGAGAAAATGACCAAGATAGATGAAAATGGCAAGTGCAAAAAATGAAGTCAGAATCTAAACCAAAATGCAGGTACCACATCCTTGGATCTTCCATTCTGTGCTGATTGCCATCTGGCTTGCCAGAAAACTAGCTACATATCATACACATCTTATGGAGACGGATTCAATAATAGTTCAATGACCTGGCTTATGAATGTCACTGGGCATAAAGCAACTTATATAAAGTTAGCTTACTCGGCCTCTTAAAAAATTCAAAATCAAATTTTTTAGAGAAAATATTGTAATAATCAATATTCACTTCATGGAATTATTCTACACATCGTACTCTCAAGTCAAAAATACATCTATCTGGAACATTTTGAGTATGAACCCTATTGAGATCATGGAAGTTATAGTTACGTTTTCAGATCAAATTTTCGGCCTCAATGGTCTTTGGTTCGGTATGTCTGTGGTGTCCCTAACTGAATTGATACTGTACCTGACAAAAGTGTCATGGTTAGCCGTTTCTAGAAGACGAAGGAAACATTTGTTTGACAAACAAATGTCGGAAAAGGTATTATGGAAAAATAGGGGCTAAATAACAAACGTGGTTTCAGAGAAAGGAGAAAATTCTAGAAGCAGCTGTTCAGGAGAACGAGGAGTCCAAATCTCGAAGAAGTTCAGTAGCCAATTTGAGAGGGTTGGATGATGATGACGATCAAGATTTCTGGTATAGAAACCCACATCGGTTTTCTGATTCTAGTTTGGATAACGTAGTAAGTTTCAAGAAATGGAAATTTAGCCGACCGACCGAATTTAGCCGACCGACCGACCGCTAAACGACCGAAAGCCGACCCAGCTTCACGCGACAACTTCGGTCGGCCATCGGTCGGCTGTCGGTGGGCTGTCGGTGGGCTGTCAGTCGGCGGTCGATCGGCTATCGGTCGGCTGTCGGTGGGCTGTCGGTCGGCTGTTGGTCGGCGGTCGGTCGGCGGTCGGTCGGCTATCGGTCGGCGATCGGTTGGCTGTCGGTCGGCGGTCGGTTGGCGGTCGGTCGGCTGTCGGTCGCCTGTCGGTCGGCTATCGGTCGGCTATCGGTCGGCTATCGGTCGGCGATCGGTAGGCTACCGGTTGGATGTCGGTCGGCTGTAGGTCGGTTGTANGTCGTCTATCAGTCGGCTATCGGTCGGCGGTCGGTCGGCTATCGGCCGGACGCTGGTCGGCTGTCGGCCGGCTATCGGTCGGCTATCGGTCGGTTATCAGTCGGCTGTCGGTTGTCGGTCAATCGGCGGTCGCCAATTTCCGACCGCCCGAAAAGAAAACCTCCGTCAAAACATCAGATTCAACTAGCAATCGATTTCGATAAAGCTGGCCGGATTTCATAGAAAAGTTTAGCTGATATCAAAGAAGAAGATGAAGACGTCAAATCCTTGAATTGTATGAATTCCAATTGTGAACTAATTTTGAGATTGTAACTATGAATAAATTATTCTCGGGCATATTTCATACCCAGACAAGAATAATGCCCCTGATGTCACTGTTTATTTACTTTTTGTCCAACTATAGAAAAGTGACGTCTACTCGAAAAATTCACACCTAAATGTCAATATTAAAAAAAAGAAGGGTATAAAGAAAATTTTATTTCACATTCAACTGTCCACAGACATATTCATTTTGCTGAAAATGAATGGAGCTGCTGGAAAACGAAGGCTTTCTAGTTTGGCGTCTGTAAAGTTGCCAGTGGACAAAGTGAAGAAGTTGAAAAAATCTGAAGGTGCTGAATCGATTTTTCAGGAAACTCAACATTTTAGCAGTGAGTTTACAAATTATTTTAGATTTCTAAAATTTAGATTTTCAGCTATAACTACAGTCAATGGTCCCAGACGGATATTCTACGGAAAACGAGGTGCTCGTATTTTCTGGACGTTGCTGGTCACAGCGTTTTTTGGTCTTCTGATCTACCAAGTTGTGATTATTCTACAGTATTTCTTTCAAAGCCTACAGTCTCTCGGGTAACATTTTTTGAGGGTGGCTTTTAAAACTTCAAAATTTCAGATCACTTTCATTGCCAACGAGGGTCGTATTGATTTTCCATCCATCACAATTTGTAATTTAAATGCTGTGAAAGCGGAATACATAAATAAATTGAATTCTTCTGGAGATATGTCTGATGAAGTTTTGAACTATCTGTTGGCGACAAAAGCAAATTCAATGTACATGTTTAACAATGCAGATGTTGCTCAACTGAAAGCAGGTTGGCAAATTTTTTTCCGGATTTCATCAAACTTCAGCACACGACAGTTCAATGGAATACCTTCGAAACCATCCCGACCTTCAAATCGTTGACTTTCTAAACTTGGCTCAATTCGACTGTAACGAACTTTTTGAAATTTGTTATTTCGGAGGAAAACAGTTTGATTGCTGTAAATCGATGACCCAATCTACAACTTCTCTTGGAAAATGCTGGGAGCTTAACTTACAAAATTCCACAGAGCTATGGATAAAAGAAGAAATGGCGCCTATCATCTCAGCAAAAGAAGGAATACAAATCGTTGCAAACGCAAGACAAGCTGAGCAATTCACAAGTTTCCAATATTCCAGTATTCAAGAGAACGGCTTTCGCTACTTTATTCATCCACCCAAAATTAGCCCGGATCGTGCATCGGCTGGGACTACAGTATCACCATCGAGAATCGTAAATTCTGCAATCAAAGCCAAAGTTTACGATTTACTCAATCGAGATAATTGGGGAAATTGTACTTCTGAGTGGCCAGCGAACTTTGTGACCGACCTACCGTATGACTCGTCTGTCTGTCAAGCACTCTGTATTGCAAATCACTTTGAGAACCTTTGTGAATGTATTCCATACACTTATAATATTAATAATAGTGAGTTAGAGCATTAAACTGAAAAAATACGTGTGAAATTTTATAGAACCTGATGTGTGTTTCCCATATGAGGAGGTGTCCTGTATGAAAGATAAAATGACAAAGATAGATGAAAATGGTAAGTGTATGAAATGAGATCAAGTTTGATTGACACTAGGCGAAAACCATCCTGCAGGTACCACATCCCTAGACCTTCCATTCTGCTCGGAATGCCACTTGGCTTGCCAGAAAACTAGCTATGAATCCTACACATCATATGGTCTTGGCTTCAATAACAGTTCAATGAAATGGCTCAAAAATTTGACTGGCTATAAAGAAAGATACATACGGGAAAACATTGTGGTGATAAATATTCTTTTTATGGAACTATTCTACACTTCCTATACCCAAGTGAAGAATACATCGATTTGGAGTACTTTCAGTGAGTTTGTGGAATTTTGAAAATACTTGAATCTTTGAATTTTTCAGACAAAATATTTAATTTGAATAGTTTGTGGTTTGGAATGTCAGTGGTTTCGATGATAGAGTTGATTCTGTATCTGACTAAAATTTCCTGGATAGCAGTTTCCAGGAAAAGAAGGCATCACTTGTTCGAGAAGAAAATGTCGGTGAAGGTTCGTATGAGTTACCGTATTACCTCTAATAGAATGGCTTTTCAAATTTGAGTCAATTTATCTCGATTCCTGTTTAAAATATGAAAAAGGTGACAACTGGTAAATTGTTTAGAATATTATGACAGTTTATCAGTTCAGAACTTTTTCATATCTTTGACAGGAAGTGAGATAAAATGGGTCAAACTTGGCAGTGTGGGGGCCCTTCTATTGCAGGTTTTACGGTGTTTCGTATCAGTCATATATTGGACACAGTTTCAGAGAATCGAAGACATTCTAAAAGAGGCTGTACAAGAGAACGAAGAGATAAAATCTAGAAGAAATTCTGCGGCGAACCTCAAAGACTTTGACGATGAAGAAGATTATGATCTTTGGTACAGGAATCCTCATCCGTATTCGAATACTAGTTTGGATAGTGTAGTAAGTATCTTTATTTTCGACCAAGACAATTTTTAAAAATTTTCAGATTCAAATGGCGATAGACTTTGAAAAATTCCGACGCCCTTCATCGAAAAGTTTGGCAAATATAGTAGAGGAAGAGGAAGACACAATATCGATAAACAAATCGGTTACGAGATTTTAGAATACAACATGTATATTTATTCTAATAGACAAGGATAAGACAACTTTAGAAAGAAAATGTGATCCAGAAAATGGTCATCAAAATTATATGAAACCTTGACGACGAGTTACAAAAGTCAGTATCGCAGTAGCAATCGACACGTTTCTGGAATTGGAAACATCATACAGAAGTAACTAGATAAACTTACAGTGGAAAAGCCAACATTCGAAGTATCCTGATTCAAATCGTAACATCCATCCACTATAGCTTGTCCGTTGTCCTCACGAATATTGGCGCATCCCTAGAAAATGTACCGTAAACAGTCTAACAGAATTCAGTTAACTTTGAGCATATGTATCTAGGTTTCTGTATTAGATAGCGAAAACTTGTAAACTAATAAAACGTTTTTTGATATCATGATAAAAATTTTATCAGTTGACAAAATTTTGATATCTTTCACAGGAATCAAGATAAGTTGGCTCAAAGTGTGCGACGGGGGGGGGGGGTCTGATTACGATACATAGTTAAAATTAACAAACCTTTGTGTAAGTTGTATATTTATAGTTAAACCGATTGAAACCAATTCGATGAATCTCTATAACATTTTTCATCAGGGTTTCTACAAAAAAATAATGCTTACTGGCTCTCTTGATACAAAAAGTCCCATTAGTGCAAACATCATTTCCCGACTTTGATCTACAATTTCCATAATACAAATCCGGAGAAATATTCAAATCCATATATAGCCTTTTGGTAGTTCTGCTCATTCTCTCAGCTCCTCCACATTGATGACATTGGAGAGGGTTGATTGGGGTGATAAAAAAGAAAACGAGGAGAAAGAAGAGTATCAGAATTCTAGGAGACATTCGGCTTCTGAAAAAGTGAAAGTGAAAAGAGGAAGTTTGAATTTCAAGAAGTGCGGATATCCTTAAAACAATGAGGAGTCTCTATGGAGATGCGGACTTATTCATAAGTTCAAACTATGTTTTTTTCTTTTTTTTTTTGTATTTTACTGACGTTTGAAAGTTGTGAAAAGGAACGTAATAGAGGGAAGTTTCAAAAAACCAAACGTTGTTTTCCAAGCTTCAGGAAGTTGTTGAAGCCATCAAACCATCAACCTCAATTATCTCGATTCCCGGGGAAGGTTTCAAACATTTGTCAACTGATAAAATATTGGTGATATTATGATAAGTAATTCATCAGTTGACAATTTTTTGGTATCTTACACAGGGACTGAGATAATTGAGCTCGAAGTTGACGGTTTGGGTGGCGGCGCCACCGTGGCGCTCTCTTCCTGAATGTTTACGGTAGGTATGGATAAGAACTACTTATACGTTCACGGTGAAATCAATTATTTTAATTCCTATGCAGGATGTCAGAAATTTGTCAACTGATAAAATATTGGTGATATTATGATAAACATTTTTTCAGTTGATAATCTTTTTACTGTAAACTACAAAGTTAAAACTCTATTTGTGTTCAATAATCCAACATAACCTTCTATGTTTCATAGACATTGAAGAAGACTATTTCCAACTGAAAATCATGACCTAAAAATGAAACCTAGGTCACGACCTAAAAGTTGAAATCTAGGTCATGATCTAAACATGAAATCTAGGTCATGCCATAAAAACTAAAATTTAGTTCATGATCTAAAAATTTGAAATCTAGGTCATGACCTAAAATTGAAATCTGACCCGGGCGCCATGACCCGGTCCCCATCACCCGGGCCCCATCACCCGGGACCCCATCACCCGGATCTCATGACTCGGATCCCATGACCCCGAACCCTTCCCTGGGTCACCTCTCGGGAACCCCGAGAAAGGGAGAACTGATTCATTCCTTCACTTCCTTCTTCCTTTATAGCACTCCTCAGAGGTCAATGGGTCATCGAGGGTCGGTGGTTTCTTTACGTCGCTTTTTTGGTCTAGAACTTAATGATTTCTGCAAAACTTTTATATATTTTTTTCACCACGTTTAAATAACCCTTGAATTTTCAAATTTTGAAATCTATGTGACTATTAAAAAAATATTTCGTTTGACCCCATTTTTCCAGTTTCCTGTTAGAGATATCTAATAATTTTCAACAGATGAAATGTTTTTGATAACAAGGCGATTTTTTTCCGGTTTTAAGAATATTTATTATCCCAGATGAACATCTAAAAGGTATCACAGAGAAATGAAAATAATTAAAATTTAGTGAGATGCAGTGTGCCAGAAGATCACTAGAAGGATAATGGACGCAGTGGCGTAGTAGGAGGCGGTATTACAGAAATCAGTATCGCAGTAGCAATCGAGACGTTTCTGAAAATTTCAAGAAATCGAGATTCCTGGGAAGAAAAACTTACAGTGGTGTATCCGACTTTAGTGGTGTCCTGATTCAAATCGAAGCATCCATTGGTTATATTCTGTCCGTTATCCTCACGAACGCTGGCACATCCCTTGGTGTACGACGTCCATTTGTAGTTCAAACTGTTGAATCCGATTCTGTAGACCTCTGAAAGCTTCTGATTCCTTTCTATCTTTGCTTATTATAACTCACTGGCTCTTTTGATACAGAAAGTTCCATTGGTACAGACATCGGATCCAGACTTTGCCTTGCAGTTTCCATAATATTTATCCGGAGAAATGTTCAACTCGGTGAACATCTTTTTAGTCAGTTTTCCCATTCTCTCCTGGCCACCACATTGATGGCATTGAATCGGAAACGATGGAGAAACAAGGTAGAGAAGGAAGAAGTAGAAAAGAAAGTTTGAGAACATTTTCGTTAGAAGAAAGAAAATGAAATGCCATTCGAGAATCTTCTCAAGAATATAAAGGCTTTCCTAGACAAGAGGAGGTCCTTCAGACAGAAACTCGGGACCATGGCGACGCGCCTTATTCATATACACAAACTACGCTTCCTCCCCTTTTTGAGTGGTCCGACATCCACAAAATACGAAAATAGACATAGATCAGAAAAACAAATCACAACTTCACAGAATACGATTTATTGAAGCGAAAGACAGAAACCAACGCGCTTCTGTCCGATATCGTGTACATTACAGTATTGTCTCATAAATGGTCCTCCTAGGATCCAGGCTGGTCCGAATCCAGCGTAAGATTGGGGGATGGCAGCGAAGAGGCAGGAATTGGTCTGAATATATTCAAATGATAGTTTTCAAGAATACATGTGATCTTACATCGATTTGCAATATGTAGTTGTTGGCTCGAATCACATAATTGAAAGCTCCAATCTTCATTTTGATAGGTCCAGCGTCGGTTCCACAAGGAATGTTGTAAACTTGATTTGTTTGGTCCCACTGAAAGCCTAACTTCTACAGTATCTCCTGTGCTCCAATTACCGTAGCTCCTGCAGCTTTTGCCAAGCTATCAATAGCAGCTTGTGGACCACACAAGAAGGATGTCGCGGTATCTGTGATCACTTCATAGGTGGTAGTAGATTGATAAGAGCCCAAGGAAAATCCAGTAGCCTAAAGATAGAAGTCATAAAGATCTCAAAGCATGAATACCTGGAACTGGAAGTGTCTGGCATTGGTCAATGGTGCATAACCAATAACTGGTCCACAATGAGTTCTATCCAGACCTCCATAGGTGAATGAACCGCTAGCCGATGTGCCAAGAGCACCACGCTGGCCGAACCATGTTGTGAAAATTGGTTGATCAAGGAGTCCCTGATTGATAGCGTTGATAAGTGGAGGAGTGATGTTATCAACTGCGAGATCGGTGAATGCTAATCCGAAGACACCCTCTTTTGGGCTCTAGAAACTATTTGGCATTATTAAATTCGATGTAGGTACCAACCCATTTGAAATCCGAGCCAACTGTGTCAGCAACACCGAGATAGGAATTTGGAATGACGAGTTGAGTTTCTAAACTTCCACCAATCTGAAAAGCGAAATGGAAACTGATTGTAAGATGCCAGATTTTCAGCCAACCTTTACAGTATCTATACCCAGAGTACCGTAGGCATCTCCACTGGCATATTTAATCTGCCATGGTTTGTTGGTGGCAACATAGGTGATGGACTCCTTTTCGTTGAACAATCTCTTATTTTCACAATAGGTTCTGGAAATTAAATTTTTGCTGATTTCATATAAATACTGTAAATCTATGGATATACCACATTTGCTCTAATAGACACCATACGTCCACATTGAGCTCAATTATCTCGGTTCCTATGAGAGATATCCGAAATTTTCCAACTGATAAAATATTCATTATAATATCACCAATGTACAATAAGCGGACAAATTGTCTATATCTCTCCTAGGAACCGTGATAATTGAGCTCAAAGTATACATTTTTCTAACCAACTTACGTGCAGTTCGTTCCAGGAATCAACAAATTCGCCGACCCAGTATCCAACACTACAATGAAATTCTGATCCGGCGTACCCACAGTGACATTTCCCATGTACTCATAATACACATAATCCGTAGCACTCTGAACTACAGTAGCCAGATTTGATGTTCTTGCAGCCACCATTCTATCTCTATACTCCAGATATGCCGGATACTCTCCATTCCGGATCATTTGAACCATTCGAGACTCCTTCCATACCAGCTGATGCTCGAGGACTGCAGCCGTAGAGGAACCAACAAGAAAAAGAAGGATGGTAATCATCTGGAAGTTCCTAGAAGATATGAAGTACGAGGAAAAATTAAAAAAGACAGCAGCAAAACGACAAACTAAATAAAGTTATCAGTTTTAGAGAAATTTCTAGCTTCCCTGATAACGAAACTAAACCTCTACATCAGATTATGAACTCTGATTTTGTAATATTAGAAAAACAACAGGTTCAATCTAGTTTGGTCTGGAAACTGGTTCTTCTGAAAGTCAAATCTAGCCAAATACCGTATATCTTGTAATAGAAGGGTCCCCTTAACTTTGAGCCAATTTTTCTCGGTTACTGTCAAAGATATCCGAAAATTGTCGACGGAAAATTGCTTATCATAATATAACAGACATTTTATTAGTTGACACATTTTTGATGTCTTCCATAGGAATTGAGATAAATCAACTCAAACTTGATAGTGTATGGGGCCTTCGATTACAGGTTTCACGGTAACTGTTTCAAGCGTTTTGCAGGTTTTTGGATGAATTTGGGCTAGATTTTGATCCAAAGTTGCCCAATAACGGCAGTGCAGCGGACCATGGTCAGATTTCGTATGATACATGAAAGTTGGAATAATTCGGTGTTCTAAAATGTTTATTTTTAGATTTTCAGTGTTTGGTGGATCGAAACCAGTTAAACCATCCGGCGGGAAGTTGCTATGATCCCCGATAACGCATCCATGTTTCGATTCTGGAATTCCCCAATATTCAATAAATCCCTCTACCCGTTTAATACGTTCCATCCGGTTCCTGATCTTTAAAATGATCTCTAGAATTTGCCCTTTTCCGTTTTTTCTTTGTTCTCCTACTATTCTCCTTGAAGTGGATACTTGTACAACATAATTTCACTTTTTGAACCGTCCCACTATAGAGAACTCCCTCCGCTTAGAAACACACGACTTGACACTAAACAAGTCTGTAAAAGTGCACATGGTCATAAATCAGCCAATCTGGCTAAACGCTCTTTTCTGGTTCTGCTTCTCTGTTTCCTCTCCGATTCGGCCACCCATATCCCAACGAATGTTGCCTAGTGTATTGAAAAACGAAGAGAAGAAGAAGAAGCATGTTCCCAATTTGAGGGCACCTTCGGGACCTAGTTTTTTGTAGTGGAATGGTGGGACGAAGAAACTGAAGGAAACGCGAAAAAAAAGAAGACGAGGAAGATGTGACCCCCAGTTCAGTTTTTTTCTCATTTCCTCTGTGATTGTGAGCTAGTTTGTTTGCAAAAACTCGGGGGGTCCCAACGGTCTCTTTTCTGGTTCCAGCGAAAAAGGGCAATTGGGAAAGGAACGAAAGACAAGGGAGCAGAATAGTTTTGGAGAAGAAAGACTTGGAAAACCACTGGAAGACAAACCAAATTAAGTTTAAAGAGAAGAATCCAAGAGAAGGAGCCCTTGTCCTATTTAGAATCTTTTCTCTCCCATTTCCTTATTTCAAAGTTTTTTTGGTTTTCTGAAGATTTTCGTGCTTTAAGGGATTTGCATCTTCCGATTGTTTGTTTGGTTCAAACTACTGTAGTATGCTGTTGCGCTCTATTGAGAAATGAACAAGTTTCAGGCCTTTGAAAATTCAAATTTCTCGCAATTCAGAGCCATAAACTTTGCCACGTCTCCTTCTCATTAGAGCGCAACGGCATACCACAGCAATCCTATGCTGGTCGACTATTGTGTTGGGTAACAGGCCCACATCTTGTTTTTCTCCCCAAACTTCATACTTCCATGTTTAACAATCATATCCCACGGTTTATAACCATCTCTTATTCTCCACACAAAAACTGTACCACTCCCATTGGTTATTATCTACAAACTTTCTCCATTTCCCCTTCAAACCTCTTTTCGTTTTTGCCACGTTTTATGTAGTACCTGTACACAGTACCTATTCTCTCTCTCTCTCTCTCTCTCTCTCTCTCTCTCTCTCTCTCTCTCTCTCTCTCTCCAGTGATTACGATTTGAAATTCAAATGAGTTACTGATATTCCTCATTATCTGGTCTCGTGCAATTTGCTCATCGATCTGATTTGCTAATTGGATGAAAAGACAATAGGGGAGAGTGATTTTGACATTTTGATAACGGAGGGTGATTAGAATATAAGAGGAAGCCAACAACATTTGAATTTTTTTGTCCATTGGCGTTGGGCCAGAAAAGATCGGAATTTGCCTAAACGATAAGTAACTTTCCAAATTATCTTTTTTCATTTTTTCAAAAATTACCGTAATGCTCTAATAGAAGCCCACTAAACCATCAATTTTGAGCCAATTCATCTTGGTTCCTGCGGAAGATATCAAAAGACTCTCAACTGATAAAATTCAGCTGATAATACGAAAAACATTTTATCAGTTAACAGATTTTTGATATCTTTTGAAAGAACCGAGATAATTGGGCTCAAAGAACAGGTGGGCCACTATTAGATACGGTACCGTGAGTTTTCGTATCTCGGTTCGTCCCTGACTCCAACCATTTCCCAACCATTTCTCTCATTTCATCTCTCTCTATTCCAACTTGCTCCATGGAAACTTGAACCTTTGACCTCCCATGAATTCCCGTCTGCGTCTCTTCGTCTCCCACGCTATCTCACCTCATCATCTAGACTCATCTATCACCGTTTCGTCGCGTGTCGCCGTTGTCGGGCCCCGTATTGTCCCAACTTGTTCCTCCTCACCTCTTCTTCGATTCCTCTTTTCGCTCCACACTGTTTTCGCGCACTTTCTACCCAATAAATCGAAATGAGCGCAAAGAAAAACGACGACGACGGTGTTGGTGTAGGTGACAACACAACTCTGTCTCCGAAGACAAAGACATTGTTGCCCTACGTATTTCTTGTTCGTCGTCGTTTTAGAGAGGTACTAGCTTAGCGGCGAGGCTGCCCAAGCAAAATTTATGGATGACAGAGGGGTGCCGATGGATTTTTGAAGGTTGGGAAAATCGACGTTGCGTAAGAGGCTTTGATGTCTCGTAGAAGACGTTGGAGACAAGGAACGGATATCATAACACGCAAAGTACACCCTGGTGAGGGAGTAGAATGGTTGAAGCATGTTTTAGTGTCTATTGGCAACAGGATTGTCAAAGCTGCTGCCCAATTGAACCGTCTACTCTGATCTAAGCTCACCGACCTAAATATTCTCAAGGTTAAATCTTCGAGAGCGTTTGTTCCAGTTTAAAAGTTCTGAATCTTCAGTCTAAATTAACTGTCAAATACCAATATAAGGTTCTGCGCGGCTGAACTTAATTCCAGAAGATCATGAGGTCTAGTCTACGGCAACCTAACCACGGCCCAAGACAGGGCTGCCCGCGGTCTATTTTCCAACAGCTTTGGTCCAGAAGCAATCTACAGTACCCGTCAAAATGTTTTTAAAAATATTTTATCTGTTGTTGGTTAGAAATGGTCAACTTCGGATGTCGAAAAAATGAAGAGAAATTCGTTAGATGAAACTTCAGTTTTTTAGTAGACAATTTTTCGTACGAGTTCTAAATGAGATATATGGCTGGAAATCAAACAAAAGTGGAGCATTCCAGAAAGAGCAGAGTCGTAACGTTTCGCTTTAAAACTGTAGAATAGGTACCGTACCTCTTCTGATAGAAGCTCACTCTATACGTACACTTTCAGCTCAATTATCTCAGTTCCTATAAGAGATATCAAGAATCTGTCAACTGATAAAATGTTAGAGATATTATGATAAACACTTAATCAGTTGACAGATTTTTGATATCTCTTACAGAAATTGAGATAATTGAGCTCAAAGTGCAAGCATAGGGTGGCCTTATAATCAAACGTTCCCACCACTTCCCTTTTTTTACGTAAATTTTCCCTTTTTTCGATCCGCTTTATTTTTTTTCTCAAAGATTCTGATCTGACGATGTTCTCACGACGACTGCAATTTTTCAAAAGTGCTCTTTTTCGTCCCCTGGTACATTTTTTCGTACCTCACACAAACACATTTCAGAGATTACCTCTGTCACATGCCCTTCACCTTTTTAGATTAATTTTGTAGGAGTACTAGACATAGATTTTATTTCAGATAGAATTCAGAATCCCTTTTTAGAAAAAAAGTTACATTGAAGTATTGAAAAAAAAACCAAAAGACACCACCCATTAAGAATTGGCGAATTCTAATCCTTTTCTGGCGACGTGTGTGGTCGCTTTTCCCAATTCAATGCTCGAATTCTCTTCTCCAACCACACTATTTCCCATCTCTCGCTCATCATTATGGTATTTGAAGCGAGATGAGCCGATTGCAATCCATTTGTCCTTTTTTGTGAGAATCGAACATGTTTCACACACTGTTCGGCGGCCTGTGTATTCGGTATTACAGATTTTTTTGGTCAAAAAATTTCAGGAAGGTAAAGGCGTCCTGAAATCTAATAATTATTGTCTGATTGCTCACCTGTAGCTTCCTCAAATTTTTAAGGCTCCGCCCACTTGTCCTTTACGTCCCGATATCCATATCCCGCCCATTTGTCTTTGTAACTTAACTTTCCCTTTGTCTCAAAAACACCAACTTTAACCTCAACAACTTTTTTTTCTCTGGCCACGCCCACTGGACGCAAAAGTGCAACCTCGTAGTCCGCCTCAAATGGGTTCGTCCCGTATGGGAGGTTGTTTTTGAGGTACTAGCTCCGCCCATTTCTTTCATTTCAGCCAACACTCTTTTGGTCTATTTGCTCAAATTTTATAGCTAAGTGCGAGCTGTATATTCTGACTTTCAGGTAACTTGGAGAACAAGAAACACATCTTTGGCTGAATAACAGAAACCCAAATCATCAGGAATCCGAAAGAAAAAATCAGGTACGTCTTTGGAGGAGGCTAGCAAAAAGGAATTTACTTGTACGGGAGGTTAACTATGTTAGTGTTCATCATGAAAAAGAGATGATCGAGGGGTGGTTTGACAGGTTAGATGATACCAGTAGGGATTGAAGAAAATATAGAGGGGAGCGGGAGGGGATTGATATGATATCTTCTATTCCTTCTTTTTGATTAGGAGTGTTCTTCTGTTTGTGTGTTGATGAAATATT